AAGGAATTGATCATGAGATCTCTAACATTCAGATCTCGCATCTTACGCGTGAGACCACGCCGAGGTCTTGCAAATCATTTCTATGAACGTGATATATAACGCTCATGGAATATTATGGAAATATCAATATCTCGTAAATTATCGTGTTTTGAAATTATTTTTGCTATTATACATAAATTGGAGGGATATAGGATTAGCATAATTTATTAAAACCTATATGTTATCTATAATGTTCCTTCTCCTCTTAATTATACACATTGAGCAACCGAAATTTCCCAGAAAGCATTTTCGGTCGCTAGAAACAAGCAACCATGAGAGAGAGCAAGAGAGAGAGAGAGAGAGAGAGAGAGAGAGAGAGAGACTCTGAAGGATAGATTCGCTGTTTCATTCGACGAGCTCAGCTCGGCGTGCGGAATCTGGTCGATTACAATCGGAGTTTCTATCCTTTTTTATTTTTGCTTTGTCTCACTCTGTCGTACTTCTGTTTCAATAATTCGTTCTGCAATTCAAGAATGTGATTTCTATCGATTCTGGCATCATCGCCGATGCAGCAAGAACGCATGATTCCTTTTCTAAACGATCCTGATATATATTTCTATATATACAAAAATATATTATTATGGCGTTTCCGGCTGATAATATATTGCTGGGTTTATTTACAATGGTTCAATCCATTTCTATAGTTGAATAGCGATACTACTTCGTTTGCGCGCGACCGATAGGAGGAATGGCGCTTCTTACTAAGATTCGACATTCGAGTCGAGTCTAAAATGTGCTGTATACAATAATTTCATACCTTGCACGTTTAAAATAAGTAGCTGGCGACTTACAGAAAACCTCAAAGAACAGTACTATGCTTGCAGAAACGAGTTACGAGCTTTAATATATGTATGCATAAGTTTTTTCCGATTTTTTGGTAAAAAAAACACGTAATTTTCAAGGGAAATTAATTTTTTTTAATTCAAAATATTGGCCATCGGCTTCTACACATTTCGCCCATCTTTCAGGTAATTTATGAATACCATGCCAGAAAAACTGCTTGTCTTTTGCGGCAAACCATTC